TGTCCAGCTCAGGGAGAGGGGGGATTGGCCTCAGCCGTGGGAATGGGAACGATGGGACTGGGACTGGAGGACGGGCCGGGCTGGAGTTGGGCTGTGCGAGGGGAATGGGGTTGGTGGAGGTGGAGGGGTGAGAGACCTGGTCTGGGCAGAGCCTGAGACCTGGTCTGATCCCCTGAGCCTGTCAGGCTGTCTAGAGGCTTGCTAGAGGCTCCTGGCCTGAACTGGCCAGCAGAGGCTTGCTGGGAGCTCCTGGCCTGCACCTGAGGCTCATTTTCCTGCTTGTGCATCTCCTGCTCGAGCCTCTGCTCCTCTGGGGACTGTGCCCTGCAGGCATCGTGGCTCTTAGCCCTTCTACCCCCTCCCCTGTGATCCATAACCCCCCTGACCCTGTTTTTCTCTCTCTCTGCAGTGACAGTGGCAGATTATGCCAACTCAGACCCAGCTGTGGTGAAGTCTGGTCGGGTGAAAAAAGCTGTGGCCAATGCAGTGCAGCAGGAAGGTGAGTGAGCACTGGGGCCTGTGCCTTTCCCAGGCTGCCTCCACATTTTTCTGACCTTTGCATGATGGGCTAAACTCTCCCTCCTTAACCTGGGAAAATCTCTGCCATTTCGTGCTGAATTGAGTCTGTGCTGCTCTGCAGAACCAGCTGTTCAGAGTCTAGGAGAAGAGGCTTTATAGAAACCCTGCTGTAAGTCCAGTAAGAACTGCTGAGTCTTTCTTAGTGCCTGATAACAGAGCTTGGGTGTCATCTGCTGCTTGAAGCAGAAAACAACCTGCTATATTACTTTATAACCTCATATAAAACTGTAGAATGCTTTATTAGCAGGTAACAGTCTTTGCAGTGGGAATAAGGTGATGATGGTTCTGGCCAACATGTGCTGCATGGAGGTCCTGTGAGGGTGTTGCTGTTTCTTTGAGAACTGTGTAAACAAGGAGTTTCCTGGAAAGGTATTGCAGTATTTCCTTATCTACTTCCCCCTTGGCTGAGACCGTTCTGAACTCACACCCTGTCTGCTTGAGAAATGGGAACGTTTAGGCCTTGACTGGTGAATGGAGCAGGTGACACATGCCAAAGGTGGATGTTGTTATGTTGACAGTGATGACTGAACTCTTCATAGAGGGAAACGCTTGGTTTGTTGCTGAAATCTTAGATGTTTAAAGAGAACAGGCTCTGAGTGCCTGCCAGGGACAGTGATGCTGGTGAATATCCTTTTTAGCTGCTGCTCCTCAAGTTTTTAAGATCAGGACACCTCCCTCTTTTGTTGCGTCCTTTGTTATGGGCTTGGGGCTTCCCTCTTCCCATTCCCTCTCCTGCTCAACCTCCTGTATTCTCTCTTTGAGGCCAAATACTGCAGTTCAGCATCACACTGGCAAACTGGTGTTTCATTCATCCTGCATCCAGCATCACCTGCTTTGTCCAGCTTAACCCCTCTCCTGACATCCTGCTCTGTTTCTGGCTCATGACTCCAGGTCACAGCAGTTCTGTGCCCACCCCTTCGCAGGGCACACAATCACAGAGTCAATCAGATTGGAAGAGACCTCTGAGATCATCAAGTCCAACCTCTCACCTAACACGCCCATGTCACCTAGACCATGGCACTAAGTGCCACCTCCAGTCTGTCCTTAAACAGATTCTCTGTGAGTCTTTGCAGTGAAGTCTCTGAGGGTTTCCCCTCTGGATCAAGGGATCCTGGGGATCCCTCCCCAGCCCCAGGGCTGTGCTCCAGCCTTATCTAGTGCAGCCATGAGTGAGCTGCAGCCTTATCTGGCACAGCCTTCTCTGGTATGGTGTGTGGGGCAGTGTGCCACGTGCCAGGCATGGGGACAGTGGCCTCTGCCCCAGGAGCTCCAGCCTTTGGCCTCACTGTGCTGCTGGCTTGGAGTAAACATCCTGTGTGGAGCTTCCAACAGGGAACTTCCCCAGGAGAGGAGTGAGGGTCAGTGGGAATTTTCCTGAGCTTTATTCCTCCCCATTCTGGGGGTTAGAATTACAGCTGTGAGATGAGCAGAGGGTCTGTGACATGAAAAGGGGGGATTTACTCAAACCCTTAGTGTTTGTTAGTCTTGCAGGATTGCAGTGTGATTCACTGTGTTGCTACAGTTGTGTTAGCCACTCCAAGGTTGATCTTTCCTTTGCATAATGTCTTGAGCTCTTTTTCTAACCCCCTCTCTGAGTCTCTGAGTCTCTCTCAGTTTTGTCCTCTTGGCTGTCTTTGCTGTCATACCTCACTGTCATTCCTCTCGCCATCTATTTCCTTCCTTTTTGCCTACAAAAGGTCATGTGGAGAGGGCAGTATGATTTGGCAGTGGGACAAACCACCATCCACATGCCATGAACGCATGGAGTTTACAGAGTCAACTGTGCAAAGTGAGGTAGAACTGGTTTAGCAAAGCACTGAATGTGTCTCCTGACAGTGGGTAAAAGTCAAGCTCTGTCTTAAGACTCTTTCCATCTGTCTTACCAGGTTGAAACCTTGTTTTGTGGTTAAAAGTGTGAATATCTCTCACCTAAATTTGTTTGTGATCAGCTCCTTATATTTTGTTGTTGTTGTTTGTTTTTCTGCCTCTCTCTCCCTGTGATTCAAATAGCACATCTTGCTCTCCAGTGGCTCTGGTGACTGTGATTGGGATGTATAGAACCTTCCTGGGCTTCAGCTTGTGCTAGGGAAGGAAAGCTGGAGCAGTGCAAGCCTCCTCAGGTGCCTCTTGGTAGCTGTGCTGTTCCCCACCCATCACACTGGGCTGAGATTCAGCTTTTTGAATGAATTTTACAGCCTCCTCGCTGAACGTTTGTGCTGCTCTGTCAGTGCCTCACACAGCTGTTAGGTGGGACCACACCTTGCTTTTTCCAAGGCTCATTACTGACTCATGTGGCTTTTTCTGCCCTAACAAGCCCTCAGTTTATAGATCAGTTTTAAAAAGACTATTTCTGAAGAAGGATATGTCAAAACATGTCCCCCAGAGGCAGAAAAAGAAACTCAAAGCAACCCCAGGTGACTCAACTTGCTGTTTGCCAGCCCAGAGTTTTTCCCTTCCCTAAATTCCAGGGTAAGTGGAGCTCCTGGGTGCTTGGCACTGAGTTGTATCGCTGCT